GTGGAAAAACATCACGATACCAAAATTATTCACGATCGACACGTTCAACCGGTTCGATATCAATCCTTTTATTCGGAATGTTCGTGATCTCGATCGTACCGAATCCTAAAATACATTTTAGACGCGTTTGATTCGAGTCGATTAACCCTTTGTGGTCGATCATTTTCTATGTATGTGTGTATAAATTACTCACGATTCCTCATTTAATGTACACATTTACGATGATTATAGATTCGTTCAAATGGCGAGTGTGTTCTAGAAAAATAAATACAGCGTGTACTGTAGAAAAGTATCGTAGACATTGGTGACCTAGCGATGAAAATTTCTATCACATGAAAAATCGCGACAAATATACAGAGTGCTATTGGAAAAAGAATTAAGAGTTTGTAGACTTATATAGTGTCAGATGGAATAAAAAAAATGTTTCATTAACTTAAGTTCAAAAGCCAATACCTTTAGTGTAAAATGTGATTTTGTATGTATATTTTGCAAGGATAATTAATTTTATACTATTATGATTTGCCTCATCCATAGGAAATAATAATTAATGGAAACTATATCAAATATATAAGTTTTAAGATGCAATGGATAGATATGTATGTTACTTTTCAGTTATTGCATATTAGCAAATACAAAATTACATTTTACTGCAAAAAATATAGACTTTCTAAATTCTATATCGATTAAGAATTGTATACTTATTCTTGATGAATACTATAAGCACTTTAAATTTTTATCCTTATTCCTTGATACACTGTACAATATTTCTTTCTATGTATAGATATATATATATATTTATTTATTATATGTTTCTTTTCTATAAGCTTAATCTCCCGCAAGGGGTTAATCATTGATATGCAATCGAGCAAAAGTCATACGATCGTGTTAGGACATTCAAAACCTCCCGAAATCAACGACTACATGCGACAATAGATTTCTGTTATTTTTCCTAGTCTCTATACTGTTCGAGAGCTCAGAAAGTTCATCGACACAGGCAAGAAGAAAAAGCGCAAGCGCGTATACACGAATCAGTGTTTCCTCTACATTTCCTTCCGTTGCTTTCTGCTTTGTTCACATACGCGTAAATATTCTTTTTCTTCTGTTCGATTTCTATCCGCTCACGTACGGTGGATCACGATGCAACGTTACGATCGATAGTTTCTTCTTTGATCGATGATTTTACAACGCAATAGCAATTTTATGTCTTGTAGAACTGTTAAACTGTTAATTTGTTATGCTGACGTACGATTTACGATGACCCTTTGCAACGCTATACGATCAGTTTAACTATTTCACGTATGATTAATAGTTTCTCTTTCTTTCTCCTATTTTTTACCTTTTTTTAGCTTGGCCTTTTATGTATATATATGTATATACATATATATAAATTGAAAAATAATTCAGATTTATAATATATTTCACCGGTGTTTTAACAATTTACTCGGTCCATTAAATTTCTATAAGATTAATTCATCATTTAAGATGATTAGAAATGAGTAAAGATAGTAAAAAAACATGATGAAGAGTCGTGTGTCACAAAAGAGTGGCGACCTACCGATCAAATCTACCGTGTACATTCTATTAATTTTGTTACAATTTAAATATTAAGATATTTCATTTTCCGTAAGATTATCGGCGTTATAATTTCACAATTACAATCTTTGACTTTGTCAAATTAAATTAATAAGCGGCTCATTACTCCACATACACGTGATCTTGATGGAATGAAAAGACGCCATTTCCGTCTAAAGAGTAAGACAATGCCAACTTTGATAACAAAATAATTCGAGTTTCACTAATATTATTAATAATACGAATAACTTGATGTAGTTTACGTTTTCAAAAAAATTACATAATATTGCTTCATTAAATGATATTTACTTCGTTGATAAAATAACAACCACTTTGTCGACCAAATTATTAAATCTTGTTTAACAAACAAAGCGCTTCAAGACATATTATTATTATACTACATTTATTCAAATACATTATAAATCAGTTTATAAAATAATGTAATCATTCGCCTGACAAAATAAACAATGGCATTTACTTGATCAACGAATAATATTCCTAAATTAATCAAATACCAAGTCGATTCACGAAATGCAAATTTGAAAAAAAATCTTTTATGTTATATTATTTGCTACGCCCTTTAAGTAATTTTCAACGGAAGCTCAAAAAATTTTCTAAACTTGAAGAAACCACGAAAGATTCAAGCTTTTATTTTATGCCAAAGTTCATAAAATATTAAGAACATTTTTGATACTTAAATCAAAAACAAGATCGGAGCGTAAAAATTTTAACACCGCAGCAGTATTGACGAACAAAATGATGAGCATTTAATCAAAAAAGTAATACCATTTAATCCAACAAAACAAAATCCATTTCATTTACAAATTAACATTCTCGATTCCCCTGACAAAATTTCACGAATTCATTGGCACACGGAAATGGTAGCAAAGTTAGTCGACAAAATGGCATCCGCCAACAGAAGGAACCATCTCTGGCGGCAGTTATAAGCGAAACAAATGGCGTTTCAATTTCGTGTCTGTGGCATTTTGACGCGAGCAAATTGTCTCGATTAAAAAATTCACATGAAATTCTCGACAATGACACGCGAGCAGTCGCTGGAAAACGACGAGGATTCGGGACCTCTACGCCGTCACTCTGGAAAACTTTGTTTTAGTGGGAATGCAAATGGGGAGCGTCTATCGTGATTATATCCGGCTTAAAACACGGTCACCTTTTTTATGTTGTAAAAATCGCACTCGTTCTCGCTGCGCCAACACCGAGCGCGTAAATTGTTCTATAAAAAAAAATTAAAATTCTTCTCGTAATGCCTTACGGACCACAGATATGCTAGATTCAGCTATGATAAAATGAATGGAGAAGCAAGTATAATAGTTTATATGAACAAGATTTTACTTAATGTCTAATTATTCGAATTCTGTGTAATTGAGCACTAAGCTAAACATTACTCTTCTTTATTTTGACGATTAACGAATATTAGCAAACAAAATATATTAGCAATTAAGTTAGTACGCGGTGGCTTTTTAAAAGCAATATTAACAAAGTAATTAATTGAAAAATATTAATAAGAAAGATAGAGAATATCTCCGGTAAACTGAAATACTTTACGATGAAATCTACGGGTACATCTGAAGACTCGTATTAAATTTATTTTATGTAATTTGCGCTACTCGGTAATTACTCCTGTTTCTCAGTTGATCATATCTACCTCTAATCTACCCGCCAATCTAACAAATCTATATATATAAATATATATATATATCAAACACATCTTTCTCTGCTCGAGACTACAATGAAAACTACGCCTGGAAAAACTTCGATAAAGTCCATAAGGCGTTACGAGACTCGTAAAAAGGAAAAAGAAGCTAACAACGAGTAAAAATAAAGGCATCGAAATCGTACCATCGTACGAAAAAACCATGAAATCGTTAGAGAAAAAAGTGAAGAAAAGTGAAAAAGTACGATACAAATATCGAAAATTGCATCAAAAAAAATAAAAAAATAAAAAAAAGAATAATACACGGCGTGCAAGGATAACTTTTTCGTTACGCGTACAACGAGAAAGAAAAAGAGTAGGAAAAGAAACGAAGGGACAGCCGAAAGGGAGAGGAAAAACAGAAAAGAGAAGAAAGAGAGAAAATTAATTCCAGAACGATCCGGTACGAGGGAGGGAGCTTGCTAAAAAGGACAGCATAAGAAAAGAGAATAAAAAGAAAGACAAGCGACACACACGCGAGGCGGGATGTACGCGGATTCCGAACGCATCCTCCAACGACCGCATACGGTGTATACAATATTCAAAAGTGCGTACAAATATACATATATATATGCATATATACGCGTGTATAGACCGTTACAAACATGATAAAAGGTGGAGAAAAATGAAGCCGGCCGCAGAGCGGTCGTCATCGATAAAAATCAACCAAAAAAGATATTCTCGTGTGTAAAAAATATCGACCCCTCTCGTCTCGTCTCGTTTCGTTTCGTTTCTCGCTTCATTCATTTTCTTGCTTTATTTTCTCGTACGTTTCTCTCAGATTGAGTAGCATACTTTCCTGTCTCCGTTCTCGGACAAATTACTTTGCCCCGATACGATTCAGCTATCAACGTTCTCGCGCCGCTTTACATCCCCTTTTCTCCTTACATGTAAGAAAATCTTCATAGTAGCTGTTAATCGTATTGAAGAGAACAGAAATCTATATTTCTCTAAATATAACTATTAAATATAATATATTAAAAACAAGTAAAAAAGAAAAAGAAATCAACGATGGAAAGCGTCGCGATCACGCATCGTCGTTTCTATCTAATTATATCTATTTCCCTCTCTCTCATCCCTCTATTTCTGATCCTACTACAAACTACCGTTCTTCCTGTGTTTCTCCTAGTCTCGGTCGCTCCTAAAAACTCGATCTACATCGAGCAATGTCACCATGGAAAATGACCAGTCATATTCTCTCTCTTTCTCTCTCTCTCTCTCTCTCTCTCTCTCTCTCTTCCTCTCTTTCTCTCACTAACACACTCACTCACTCACTTACTCTCACTCTCATTCTCACTCTCACTCGCTCGCTCGTTCATTCACTCACTCATTCATACGCACTCTCTCATACACACACACACACACACACATTCTTTGCCGATCTCTTTGACATCCTTGCCGACACGATGAATGCATCACCGCGAGTATAGGCACGACCTCGACAATCAGAACGAACTTACGTGTGGGAACGGAAGATCCGTCGCACGCGCGCGACGGCTGATCGGCCACGATTGAGGGAGCACGATGCGAGATATCCTCTTTTCTTTGATTCCCCTTTTTTCCTCCATGCTCTTTCTTCCACGCTTTCTTTCCTTTTCTTTGTCTTGCTGCTGCTGTTGCTGTTGCTGTTGATGGTTGCTGCTGCTATTTCTGCTGCTGCTGTTGTTCAAGTTTACTCGGCGGGGGTGGTAACGGAAGATTTTTCGTTAGCGGGTATGTTTGGTCGGAAAAGCGTCTCAACCAAGGCCGGCCCATTGCATAAAATCGGGCACCTCTCTTACGGGAACATCCCTTGCTAGCGCCTTCACCCTCAAGTTTCTGTCATCCGTTAATAGGACAACTTCCCTCCTGAGTCGTCGTGGCTGACCCTCTTCTGTTGAAACGAAAATTCCGGGATTGTTTAGCTTTCCGAAGGAGCTGTTGGTTCGATGGTTGGATGGAGAGCGTGACATTCAGGTTGAGATGGTGGGTGTTTTTGTTAGATCATGGAAACGAATTCCTTTTATCCAGAGACACATTTCGTTTGATCTACCCTTCTTAGTTAAAACGTCCTATCTACCATCTCGAAACATCCAAGAAAACTGAAGTTTTATTACTCTTTCTGGCGTCAATTTAGAATATTTATCCATTATTTCGTAACACAATCTATATAATATAAATGTAAAACCACAATCCAAATGTTTTAATATATAGTAGCTCACGAATGTACTTGGATACTTGTAGAGAATTATAAAGAACGAATAGATATTAGATAGGACATTTTAACTAAGGTAGCGATGTAGTTTCGGTATGTCTTGCACAATCATGCCATGTTCTTGAACGTTTTTCCAATGAAGAAACTTCCGAGATTCAGTAATTCGAAGATAAAATAAAAATTACGTAATAGCAAATTATCAATATTACAAATTGAGACGAATAAGCAACATCCTATCAATTAATAAGTTCTATTCCGATAAAGGCGAACAAAAGTAACGAATAGGTCGATCACGAGACCATATGTACTGTCAACACCGATAACGGTTTATCCGCGAGCGGAACGAGCATTACAATCGGCCAGAGGCGGTATTAATCACCATCAAAGCGTCGGGAAACGCTTGAAACGTGTTCAGAGTACCCTCTGAGAGAAATATGCGCGGTGGCACCGTGTATGTACGTACCTGCATTTACTTGATCTTTGTTACCCGCCTTGCAGAGGCTCAAGCACGTAGCCAGTATTCTGTCATCGTTTCTTGTCAACCCGTCCTGCAACAGAATTACAGATGTTCCGCTTATTATTTTTATAAAATGACACGCGACTCAGCATCGCGGGAATTTAAATTGGCGGCGCTTCTGTACCTTCAAAAGATTCTTCTTGTTAGTTTCAGAATTTTAACCTTTTATAGCGGCACGTGACTTCATGAGTCAGATTGGATTGTTCGAAAAGTTCGGTTGCATCTTCATTATAAATTTGTATTAAATAGTATTAAAGCGTTCGACAAAATACTGTTCTTAGTTGTATACTATAATAAAAAAAAATTTAAGAGAAACATAAAAAATTCGTTACTGAAACAAACTTCTTCCTTGAATGAGACAACGTTGAGCATCATATATCTAAGAAATTTGGAACTTTAATTGGAATGCTTATTTCTATCTGCCTCATTCACCGAATATGGTATAACGCCATTATTATTTATTATAATCTGTACACTTATTAGTTGCTTTTTTTACTTTATTATTTATTATACTATGTATTATTTGCATTTTCTATATTTGAAGTTTTCCATAAATGAATAAACATCCGCAGTCTCATATTCATCTGCATAAACCAAGCTGATTCGCTCACCTTGTCAACATCCTCTTCTACCGTAAACGTGCTGGATGTCAGCACAGTTCCTCTGGTGGTCAAGCACCGAATCGCCGGATTTCTGCTTCTCGCGAAAGCCAGAGCTACCTTTGCGCTCTCAGCCACCCTGGCCACGTGTTCTGGATCCAAAGTCGCCCTCGAAGCTGGAGGACAATCTCTGGCGTCCGCACCCCTTGCCAAGCCCTCGAGCTCGTTCAGAACTGCAACAACAATGGAAACGTTTGATTATTGCCACACAGCGGATGTTTATATAAATTCATATCTTTTATATATATATTTTTTTATAAAAGTTTCTGTGTATATTGCTGTGGCGGATCGGTATCAATAGAACGCAGACAGGTCGAGGCATCAACGCGGCGCAACACCTCCCGGGCGATCCGCTGGTACCAACCGCCAACACTAGAGGGCTACGACGACAACGAGTCTGTCTAACTCGCTAGCGGTCGAATATACGAGCGATTGATACAAATACCGCACCTAACGAGACTCCCTCTACGTCTAAGGCAGGGACTACCGGGCATAGCCTTACTGACGAGTCCACC